GTTTGGGGTCTCAAAGAAAAGTTAAAAATACTTGACACACATACAAAAGTCAAAAATATATGAGAAAATAGATCTAAACTGAGCTTATATGTGAACTTGGAGAAAGTTTACATCTGTGGGATGCACAGGGCTGGGGATAACAGACCTGTTTCAGATATGGGCTCTCTAACCAAGCCATGTGGGTTCATTTCTAAAATGGTAAATAGAAGGGCTGTACAAAGTAAGTAAAGACCTCTCCAAGATATGGCGCATGAGCCACTTTACAACTGTGCCCAGGTAGAGGAGTAGGGTAGTTGGGATTGTCTCAGTCTCTGCTGTGGGTGCTGCTCAGAGCTCCCCTGCAGCAGGCACACTGGCAGGCAGGGCAGCGTATCTGCACGTCAGTGTGCTCCTGTCTCAGGATTACGGTGAGGCAGTCCTTCTGTCATGGATGTCAACCTTCTCACAGGACAGGCTGCAGTGACAATTAGGAAGCCTTGTCCTAAACCATCTTTGAAGACCGTGTCAGTGAGTGAAGTGCAAACACAGACAGGGACAGTTCTTATGTGCACATGGGATATCTTTTGGAGATTATGACAAGCCCTTGGCAGAAACTGCACAGGAGTGAGAGCCTATGGCGTGTCCAGTGACTTTGGAATTTTACTTTAACTTCCTCCACAGAGTCATAAGGAAATTGGGTCACACTTCCTACAATAACCCTGCATGCAAATAAAAGCATAGCAGAATGAACAGAAACTGGCTTTAAAAAAACAAACAAACAAACAAACAAACAAAAAAAAAAACAGGTTTTTGCCTTAGGGCATGTGCACTTGCCAGAGAGAGACAGAGACAGAGAGGGAAAGTGAAAAATTATCCATCCCCCCAAAAGGGATGGCAACACTGCAACCCCTTTTCCTCTGTCCTCCCAGGATCTTGGGTATGCATGCACATGCACCCAGCATAGTTCTCAAGCCACTAGGTCCAGGACTCAAACTGCAGTCGCCATGTGGGAGTCCAACAACGGTAACTGCTATGCTGTCAGCTGGTCCCCAGAAACGGTCTTTTATGGGCATTTTGTTCATAGATTGTGCGCATTTCAGCTGAAATGCAATTTCTACCATCTTCTCTGTCTAATATCCTGAAGATATTGTGTCGTAATGGCTGGCTCTCTGTAAGAATCATGCTTCTGGTCAAAAAGTAAAATAATAATAATAATAATAATAAAAGGACGTTTAAATTCATGAAAGTGAAAGACAAGGATGGTTATGGTGACGATTAGGATGGTGACTACCATCTGAGAGTATTTATTTTCTAAATGTTTTCAATCATTTTACATTTTAATGCTTTAAATAATCTCAAATCACTTTAGATTCTACATTCTTGGGCACATAGCTATTTAGATTATTTGCCTGCTAAAATTCATCATTTTCAGTTTTTAAAAAAGTTTATGTTTTCAGTGAGAGAGGAAGACAGAGAAAGACGCAGTATTATCCTCATGCTGTGATCCACCCTGGTCTCAGCTGGCTTGCATCATGGGCACATGTGCATGCCTGGTGTGCTCAGTGAGGTCCCAGGACACAAACCAGGACCTTTCCCTGTGAGTTCTGTCTTGTCACGACTGTACCACCACCTTGCTCCATTTCCAAGTTTGTTTCTTTTTTTCTCCTGGTTATGTATGGCAATATTTTGCTTCCTTATTTGCCTGGACATTTTTGTTTGGATGCTAGTATAAATGTATAAATGTATAAATAGTATAAATGTTGAATTGTTGAGTTTAGATTTGGCTTTATTCTTTGAGATGTGTTAGACTGGGTTATCCTAGGCACTTTTTTTTTTTTAATAAAAAGCTATATTTGTCTTTACTCTAGAGATAATTCATCCCCATTATTCTACCTAATATCCTACACTTTAAGAGGTCTTTCTAGTATGGTTGGTAAAAAAACAAACTATTTTTATACCTAAATGAACTTTGAGAATATTTAGTCTACTGAGTTTTGACTCTGCTTTGGATGTTTTCATGTCTTCACATAATTCTTTTCATGCACGTGTAGATCTATATTCTTACCCCTCTGCCTATCTCCAGAGGGATATCTCTCTGATTCTAGTCCTTTTCCTTGCAAATTCAAGATAACATGGCCTCCCAATAATTGTTTTCTTCATTTAAGAAACAGTCATTCTCTATTTGAATGTTTCCCTCTGTGCTACAGCCTGGAAACTGCATTTGGGGTGCAGGGCTCACTTTGCTGGTTTCCCTTCTCTCAGTGGTTATGATCTCGCACTGCTTGTTGTGCACTGTCTGAAAATGTCTGTCTTATGTATTTTTGTAATTTTCTAGTTGCTTAAACCAAAAAATAAAATAAAATCTCTGTTACTTGATTGTGGCTCAAATCAGAAGTATTACTTCCTTTATTTTTAGAATGTATCATTCATACCATTTTCCTGTAATTCTTCTCTTTCAGACTAAAAATGAACTACTTAGGAGTGGAAATCATGTCCTGCTTATCTTTGTGTCACCTGTAGCTCCCACAGAATTTTTTTTTTTTTTTTTTTTAGAGTTTTTTTGCTTTAGGGTGCATGCACTAGCCAGGGAGAAAGAGGGAAAGAAATGGTGAGCGGGAAAGTGAGAAATCATCCCCTGGGAGGACGGTCACATTGCAATCACTTCTCCATTCTCCTCCGGGGATCTTGGGCATGCATGCACATGGACCCAGTGTGATTTTCAAGCCACTGGATCTGGGACTTGAACTATGGTTGGCCATGTGGGAGTCCAGAGACATAATAGCTATGCCATTTGTTGGCTCCACTCCCATAGAATTTTACACAGGACCCTGAAAAGAATAGCTAATGCTTATTTAGTGCTTCTGAACTTCTAAACATGTCATGCACTGATATTAGTGCTCTCAGGTTTATCCTACAACAGAAGTTATTATGATATTTATTTATATGTAAGGAGCCCAAGATACACAGAGATTGAGTAGCTTTCCCAGAATCTTGATTTAATAAATGTACTCAGTACATCTTCTACTCATTATTGAATAATGAGTTCTGAGGAAAAATGATCATTGTGTATACAATGCTAATAAAATGATAAAATTAAACTAAAAATTTTTCAGAGCCAGAAAAATGTAGAGAGAAGATTTAGATCACAAAGAGTTTAGCTGACTGAAAAAAAGGTCAAACACGGCTTCAGTGCAGCTACTGGGCCAGGCAGTGGCGTGGCACCAAACACAGCCCCTGTGGAGTTGATTCATGTAGAAAGTCCTGGGACTCGCAGAGGGTATGCTGTAGTGGTTACACCACTGGACTCCTACATGGCTGACCGTGGTTTGAGTCCTGGACCAAATGGCTTCAAAATCATGCTGGGCATGTGTGTGTGTGTGTGTGTGTGTGTGTGTGTGTGTGTGTGTGTGTGTTCTAGATCCCAGGGGGAAGAGGGGAAGGAAGGGATTGTGGCATGGCCATACCCTGCAATGATTTTTCACTTTCCCTTTCACTGTTTCTGTCCCTCTCTCTTGTGCAAGTGCATGTGCCCTAAGGGAAAAACCTCTCAAACAAAGAAGGTTCTGGGTTCATATCCTGGTACCTCCCTGAACATGCAGCACACTCACGACCATGATCTGGCCTGGCTGACTCTGGGAGAGGATGTGGTATCGAGACTCTCTTAGAGGTCCTGTCTTTCTTTTTTCCTTCCCCCCCTCTTTCTCAATCATAGAAGAAATAAACTTAAAAAAAATTCTTCATTTCATTGCAAAGTGCCTAAGGCTCATAAAAACAAGATACTTTATGGGGCCAGTAGGTGGGGTTGTGGTTAAGGTGCTGGACTCCCACATGGCAGACTGAGGTTCAAGTACTGGACCTGACAGCTTGCTTTCTTACTTTCTCTCTTATTAAGTTAAAAACAAATAATAATAATAATTAATAAAATTAAATAAATAATTATTTTTAAAAAGATACTTTGGCAGTTGTCTCTGGTATTTCAGAAAATACTTTTCCACAAACAGAAACAAACTTAGTTTCTATAACTAATCTAATCCTTTGATATATTAATACATAAATCAATAGATATAACTAGGCACCTATAATACAAAGAAGGATAGTAATAATAATTAAGATTATATTAATACTACTATATACTGTATAATTTTAAAAGATGTTATGTACTTTTAAGAAATATGCAGGTTTTGCCATAGGGTATATGCACTCGCTGGTGAGAGAAAGAGACACAGAGAGAAGAAAAGTGAGAAACCATCCCCAGGGGCCTTGGCCATGCCACAGTTCCTTCTCCTCCATTCTCCTCTTAGGAGCTTGGGCATGCATGCACACATTCCTGGTGTGTTTTCTAAGCCACTGGGTCTGAGACTTAACCGTTAGCCAGGTGGGATCCAGATTCTTAACCACCATGCTTCCAGTAGGCCCTTGTCTCCTTTTTAAATTTTTTTGAAAGATTTTTGCTATAGGCCAATACATCACAAGAGAGACAGAGACAGAGAGGCGGAAAGTGAGAAATCAACCCCCATGGGAGATGACCATACTACAGTCCCTTCTTCTCCACTCTCCTCTTGGGATTTTGGGCATGCATGCACATGCGCCTGGCATGAGTTTTAAGTCACCAAGTTGGGGGCTTGAACTGGGGTCGACTATAGGGGAGTCAAGTGAGATACTTGTTGGTACCCCCATTGTTTATTATTTTACTTACAGCTGAGGACATAGAGGCAAAGATAAATTGTGACATGGTCAAAGTTCTTGGAAAATAAACCGACTTAGCTAGGAGCAGCACTGGAGACCTCTGAATCTCAGTAAGGTGCCTTTTATCATTGTGAGCTATGAATATGCAAGGGAGTTTGTGGACTGCACCCCCTCTCCAGACAGGATTGGAGTTTTCTTTCACTTGGGCATGGTCGTTACTCACCCTGCTGATGCCATGTCGGGTCTCTGGCACACTAAGGTAAGGATACACTATATCCACTCAGGACGAAGATGTGCGGAAGATAAGAAATGTGTGTGCCCATTAAACACTAGTGTCAAGTTTTCCTTAAAGTCACAGACATGATTCTGTCCATTGTCCCCCTCAACACTTCTTTTACCTTCTCATTCCTCAAGCTATAGATGAAAGGGTTCAGAAGTGGGGTCACTACTGTGATGAGGACGGCAGCTACCTTGTCGAAATCCAGCGAATAGTTCTGATTGGGTCTCACATACACGAAGATGTTGCTCCCATAAGCAATGGACACAACTGCGATGTGAGAGGCGCAGGTAGAAAAAGCTTTCTGTCGCCCCTGGGCTGAAGGGATACGCAATATGGTAGAAATTATGTAGGTGTAGGACCCAGCAGTGAACGCCAGGGAACTCAGGATGACAAGAGCAGAGAGAAGAAAGTTTATCTTCTCAATGAGGTGAGTGTCTACACAGGCCACCTGTAGAAGAGGGGCAATGTCGCAGAAGAAATGATTAATTTCTTTGCTACAGTACGGTAGCCTTGTCACTACAATGGTTGGTACTAACACAGACAGGAAGGCGCCCACCCAGCAGCTCAGGACCAGCAGGAGGCAGGCTCTGCTGTTCATGATGATGGTATAGCGCAGGGGGTTACAAATGGCCACATAACGGTCAAAGGACATCACCGCCAAGAGGATAAACTCCACTGTCCCCAGAAAGAAGTAGAAATATGTTTGGGTGATGCAGCCAGCAAAGGATATGGTCTTCCTCTCTCCTAGGAGGCAGGCTAGCAGCTTTGGGGTAACGACAGTGGTGTACAAAATATCCAGAAAGGACAAATTACTGAGGAAAAAGTACATTGGAGTTTGCAGGCGGTGATCAGTCCATATTAGGGAGATGATGATGATATTTCCTGTTGCTGTCAATGTGTAAGTCAGTAAGAGAGTCAAAAAGAGGAGTACTCGCATTTCCAGGAGAGCTGGAAAGGCAATGAGAGTGAATTCAGTCACTGTGCTCCAATTTCCCATGTCCATTGCTACATGGTAGGCAGGGCTTCCCTGAAGAGGCAAGAAAAGGAAAACTACTTCGGTAATTCTATGAATATTTGTTGGACAAGTGTGATGCAGAGGGTCTTATATTGAGAGAGATGAGTTATGGCAGATAGTCCTCTATCGAAAACCACTGTTAGGCCACCTGGAAAAGTCAAAATACTACTTAGATACACTTTTTTCAGTAAAATGAAGGGATAAGACCATATTTTAAAAACTCTGAGCTTCCTCCTACTTATAAAGTTTATTCCTCCTTGTGCTGGCCCTTTGACTGATAGTTAAGAGAGCCGGATTCCCATATGGCTTACTTCAGTCTGAATCCCAGCCCCAATGGCTTGAAAAACATGGTACCTGTACATGCATACCCCAAATCCTGAAAGGATGAAGAAATGAAGCAGAAGGGATTGTAGTGTGGCCACCCCCTACATCTCTCTCTAGTGAGTACCTCCGGCCTCTAGCAATCTGAAAAAAAAAAAGAAAAATTCTATTCCTTCTCATGACATAAAATTTCTATTCTTTCCTACTCTTCCACCTTTACTTCTCCAGGGAAAAGCATACTGAGGGGTTAACTCAGACTCCCTTCAATTGTTCTGAAGTTTACCTTCAGTGAGAAATGCTTTTCCATACTTTGTAACCTTCCAATAAAGATTTTCTCTCACTTTGGCAGTTGACATTAATGGCTTGCTATGAGAAGATAAAAGTTGATTCACTTTTTCCTATACTTGACCTCCAGTGCCTTCCAAAAGCAAGCCAATATTTGAAAGGAAGAATAGCTCATGGTTCCTACCAGGCCCTTTAGATGATGCTTCATGAGGGACTAATGGGCGTCTTGCCTTGAGATTTTGCCTGTGTCCAAAACCTAACTCCTGCACCCTCAACAAAATTGTGTAATATATGCATGTTATCTGGTTAATTAATCTGGTTAACTAGTTGAGATGACAATATACTATGCTAAAATTAGAGAGGTACAAATTATAGATTACATAGAGGTAATTCAGCTTATTTAATTTACCTGATTGGCTGAAATCATGAAGTAGTACTTCAGAATCATCCAGTTTATTTTTATCCTGGTATGTAAGAAATGATTCTTGGGTGCAGATTCCCCCATTTCAGGTTAAAACTCTGTTCTATTTCTGATGTTGGTGATTTCTTTATGACTCCCCTCTTTGCTAAGAATGGTGACCACTTCATTTTCCTTCACCCCCTCCCTCCTAGCCCTTTCCTCAAGGTACGAGAAAAGCTTATATTCATATTTTCCTTTTCATTTGAAAACTTTCCTAATATCAGAAGTTTGCAAAGAATTTTTAAAATGCAGGGGCTGGCAGGTGGCATGGTGGTTAATATGCTGGACTCCCGCATAGCTGACCATATTTCAAGTCCCAGACCCAGTGGCTTGTTTTTTCACTTTCTCCAGTTAAATTCATAATAATAATAAATAAAATTAAATAAAAAATTCTAAAAAAAAAGAATCTGCAGATGCAAAAACAGAAAAGAAAATTATAATCTGTCATCAAATCTTTTAGAGAAATAGTGGCAACATTTTGATATATATACTTCTAGGCTATTTTGAAATTCAAATTATATGCAATGTATCTAAAATAAATCATACTAGTACACTATTTTGTGAGCAGCTTTCTCCTCTTTTTTAAAAATGTTTTTTTTTCTTTTATAGCACGTTGTATTTCCATGTCAATTCCAGAAACCTACAAGGCAATTGTTCATACTATATTTGATTCCATGATGGGACTATGATGTATTTAGCCAGTAGTTTAGTTGGAAATAAATGGTTTACATTTCTGGCTTGTGTAGATAATGATCAAGTAAATATTCTTTCACATAAATCTTTGTGCAGTTGTCTTATAAATCCCTGAGAATTTTCTTCTCTAATACAATGTTTATCTTCACTATTTCTATCTTAATATAAAAACAGGACAGAGACTGGTTCTTATAATATTAAATCTTACCTTACTAGAACAGTTAACAATGTAAAATCATGTATAGATCTTTTTCTTTGGTTCTTTGTCTGAGATACTACTTCTATATAAGAACTGAGGCTATCTAATCCTCTCGGGATCAGATTAAAATCTTGTACTCTTTCTCTCCCCTTTAAATCTTTTATATTTCTGACTTCAATTTTTCATCTGAAAAATTAGATAGCCGGGTACATATTTATAAGTTCTAGTCAATATCTCGGAGTCTAAATCTGTTACTTTTCAACTCCTTAAACTACCTCAAAGATTCTAGCTTCTTTTTTTTTTTTAAGAGTTTTTTTCTATAAGGCGTGTGCGCTGGCCAGAAAGACAGAGAGAGACACAGAGATAGAAAGCAAGAAATCACACCCCCCCCAGGGGGGATGGCCACACGGCAATCCCTTCTCCTCCATTCTCCTCTCTGGATCTTGGCCTCGCACACACACATGCTTGGCGTGAGTTTAAGTCATCAGGCCCGGGACTTGAACTACAGTCGACTACATGGGAGTTCAGCGACATAGCCATTATGCTAACTGCTGATCCCAAGATTCTAGCTTCTTTCATCCTGCAGTAAACAAACTCCCAAGTGATTTTCTAAAGTACTGCACAGAACCATATGATCATAGATACACATGCCAATGTGTCAGCACGTAAGATCGCAGGGAACTTCTGTCTGTTTTTTGAATATTTGTGTCATTATTTCAATAAGATTGTTCAACAGGAAAAAGATATTTCACATTGTAATATTTAAGTACTAATTAAGTTACTCTGAGATAGTTTTAAAAACTGGGTTCAGTCCCATGTACACCACCTCCAGCTCTGATATCCTGAGCTAATTCTTCACTTTGGAGCCAGAGCTACTATGAGAACTGAAGAAAATGATAGATTCAAAATGAGCTGCCACAAGGTTTAAATTAAATCACATGTGTGACAATACCTAACAGATTCTGGCTGAAACAAGGGGATTCTATTCAGCAAGGACTGAGGTAGACTTAAGGCTAAATAATTTTTATCTGAAGACTAACAATAAATTATGAAAACTTTACATTGTAATCAAGGAGTATTTTGAATGCATATTTAACTTGAATCCCTCTACATTGGCACCCATGACCACAAAGAATTTTGACAGACTATACACTTAAAATGAACTGGATGAAATTAATATAATATTAATAAATAAAGCAAAATTGAAAAGGTATACTTACATTTCACTGATTGTATAAGATGATGTAAACTCTCACATCACGTTTTAGACATGTAGACCTAGCAAGAGGCTCAAACTTTAATAATTATATATGTAGGGATAAATTCTGGGCATTATACTTGGAATTTTTTGGGGGCCAATTATATTCCTATGTATAACTCATAGAAAAAAATAGCTCTCGAAGATGAGATAACACTTAGGAGGTAAATGAGCTATCTAACTCCAGTATAACTCCTTCTCTTTTGTATCATTTCATATACTATTCCAGCCTTTGCTTGGATGGCTTTAGTGACTGGTAAATTATCATCTTGTTTTAGCCCTGGATGAAAAAAAAGCTGCTACTGTGAATAGAAAATTCCTTCTTTGCAGTTCAAATACACATTCATGTACCGACCTCATGGACAAAGTACTCCTCTCCCCCACCATAACAGCCATTGACACATGTCTGTGGTGTAAATACCCTCCTGCCCCACAGTGTCCTATGGAGTTCTGCCCAACGCCAATTCCACAGTACATTTTTGCAGACACATAATATTAGAGTTCTGTTACGTGGCCTGAAAACGTTGCAGGAATACATCAATTACAGCTGGATTATAGTGGATTTTCCTTAACATCCATTTGAGAAATCTATCTAGAAATTTATTAGTTCTTATTTCTCAAGTATATTTCCCCACGCAGAAAGGTGTTGTTTTGCCTCTTACATTGATTCTTAATCATTTAAACTACTTAGTAACTGAGCTTTACAGATACAGAATCTCACACAGTTAACTCACCTATCTATTGCTAATGCTGAACCCTTTGCAGGCATGCTCAGCAAGCCACAGCACAGTGAGGGAAACTCAGTTTCTGCTACCTCACTCCTTCCTGGTTGTTAGATTCTCTTTCCAATGAAGCTGTACTAAATGGTCTGGAAATTGCAAATGGTTCACCAGATTAAATGTGTCCTGAAAAAGATTTTTAAAAATCTACCTCTTTTTTTCCTTCTATAAACTAAAGATTTCTTTCTCCCCCCCCCCCAAATGGGTGAACTATGATTTTTTCATTGGCTTACTTGCCTTAGAGACTTAGAAGACAACAGCTCTTGGGGATATGGGTCAAAATAAGTTAATTAATACTATTGTTATAAAAGAATGTTCGTTCTGTACTATCTACTCACAATTACAAAGTTTTAGAAGGTCCCAAATAGACCTGTTAGGAAGCCCCTGGTGGTTTCCCCAAATATTTTGCTTTATACATTTTAAAGAAAAAAAGAATACTTTTTAATGTCCTTGACTGCAAGTTCTATCATCTTTGTCTTCCTAAACCAACTTCAATTGATTAATTTTTCTCCTCAGCGTAGCTTATGTTTTACTGCTTCTTTATATGTCTGGTAATTTTTTATTGAATATCAGAGAATATTCTCAAATATGCCTTGTTGAGAGAAAATAATTTTGTATTTCTGAAAGCATACCTGAGCTTTGTTCCTGGGTGCAGTTAAATTCCTTAAAACTTGTTTAATTATTTTGTATTTTGCTTTCAGTCTCTGAATAAGTAAAAATAGTATTAGAAAACTTCACATCAGGGAAGCCAGCA